CCTGAAATTGCACAGGTACATTTTTGTTTCCAAATCTATGATGCTATTGGCACCCCATGTTCAACCCCTGATGTTTTGCCCATCCCTTCAGGTAGATTGGAGCCCAGCCTGATCTTCCTAACCCAACACCGACCCACCAACAAGTCGCAGTCGCAAGTCTCAATGGATTGGTTTAGGGGGAAAAAAAAATACAGGAAAACCCCATATATTTAATGGTAATTTTACCAGAAGGTTTCACAGTTTCCTTTTTTATTTTTCCCTGAAACCAATCCATATGGCCAGTCATGACATATGGTGATGTCTTAAAAAATAGGGAAGCCAAAAACCCCCAGTGCTTCCCCTTCACTCACCGAGCCCTGGCCAGTCCGACTGTGGCTGAGCTGATCAGCTACTTGAACGACTGATAGTCCCCTTCAAGGGACTGACCCACCATCAGATAAACCAACATCATTCCAGTAAATACATATCTATTCAAATATATCACATATGTGTATAGATATAGACAGGTAATAGTGCATCCAGGGATATTTAGACCATCTATTTGTATAGTTAGATAAAATGTTGGTTCATATTATTATAGTGATTAGACATTGGATAATAATATGTCCACGTATAACTATGTCATATGTCCACATCTTATGATATCTATGAAGTATGTCCACATGAGTTTGTCTGAAAATAAGTTACTTCCAATTGCAATTGCAATGGATTAGAAAATGAATTTCCCTGTAAAACAATGGAACTATTTGTGGGTATTCCCGAATTTTCAGACACAGCCCAATATCTATTCCTGTCAGTTAAGAGTTAATAGCCCCAATAGTATACCCATTAGTGTTTGACACAACCCAGTATAATGTAGTATAACCCTCCACAATCATCAACCATCATCAAACAGGGGTTTAGCAGCCATTGTGTCCACATCTGATATCGAAGTATTTCCACATGGAGGTTTCCTAAAATGATGGTACCCCCAAATCATCCCATTTTAGTAGGATTTTCCATTAGAAACCATCCATTTTGGATACCCTCTGGCAATAGCATGGAATGTGACCCATTTAGTTCGTTGATGTACCTATTATTTTAATGGTGATTGTCCAGGTCGTGATCAAATTTACCCAGATATCCAGATATGCTTATAATATATTACTAACCACTATTAACCATTACTAACCACTATTAATATATATATAATCATATATATATAATATGATCCTGGAGTAGATAGCATTTCAGTATCAGATTATGACTATTTGAGGAGTACCCCCCTAATTATTCCAGCGGCATCCCAGGCATCCCGGACCGACACGCTGCCCGCCGCCGTCACGCGGATCTCTTCGTCTGCCTTCTGGACGTCCTCCTGCGCGTTTCGTGGCAAAAAAAAGCAGGCATGTCATGGCCAGGATAGGGATTTGAGCTACAAAATATGGAAAATTGGGAACACTTGGTAGTTTAAGAGCTAGAAAAATGGGGATAACACTAGCTTAACTAACTTGATGGGTCGATTTCACCTTAAACAAATGGAATTTGAGATGATTTAGTCAACATGGGGATCTAATCAACAACACAAGTGATTTATGATAAATTCAAGATAGCTTTATTTTGCTTTCTAACTCGACCAACGATTGGATTTATCATAGAAAATGCTAAATTTGGGGATGGTGGATCCTATTGCTTTGGCTAACATGACAGACTATTCTTGCCTGGAAAAAGCAGACCACTGATCCCAAAAAAAAAAACTATCTTTGGGGTTACCCTCTGGTAAACGTTTACTATGGAAAGATCCACCATGTTTAATGTTAATGGGTAAATCCATGGTAAATCCATGGTAAATCCACTATTTCTATGGCCGGGTATCCTGGATTTCCGGAAAAATCACCATTTTTAATGGGAAAATCCACTATTTCTGGCCATTTTCAATAGCTTTTTCTATGTTTACCAGGCCGGGTATCCTGGAAGCCGAGCATCGGAGCAGGATGCTGGAGATCAACAGACATGGAACCATGACCAATGGGCATGGGCTACAAATATCTATATATGGCTATTGTATCAATGGGAATTCCAGGATCCTAAAATGGAGGTACGTTAGTACCATATGTTTGGCCATATTTTGTGGGGATATTCCCTTACATAAGCCTGAACAATAGGCCTTATATATGGTAGGTACCTCCAATTTAGGTTCCTGAAATGGCCATTGATTGTATGGTATTGTTGGATGGGTAATTACTGGTTGGTGGTTGACCTACCCCTCTGAAAAATATGAGTTCGTCAGTTGGGAGTATTATGTCCAATATATGGAAAAATAAAAAATGTTCCAAACCACCAACCAGATGGCTATTGTATGGTATTGTTGGATGGGTAATTAGTAATAACCATAACCATGAATCATAGGTATTGATATTGACCTTAATACCCAAGCTGGTTGGTGGTGCAATAACCATCTTGAAAAATGATGGAGTTCGTCAATGGGAAGGATGACATCCCATATATGAAATGGAAAATAAAATTCATGTTTGAAACCACCAACCAGATATCCATATAAGTCCAAAACTGGGAAACCTCTGAAGCGGGTCAACACCAAACAAAAATGGTTGGAAGCAAATGTGCGAAAAAACAACGTTGAGTTTGTTTCATTTGGGGGCCATTCTCAGGAGCATCTGTGACTTTTTGAGGGGCTACCCCTTACGTAATTCATCAATCGTGGAATATGAATGCTGACACTACTCAGACAATGCTCTCTCAATGATCCGCTTGGTTTCACGTTACCCTCTGGTAATTTAACATAACTATGGAACATCACCAGTTTTAATGGGAAAACTCGCTATAAATCACCATTTTCAATAGCTATGTTAAATTATCAGAGGGTATGTCGCACAGGTTGTACGTGGGTAATGAGTCAAAATGGCAGAAAGAACGATTCGACCCATTTTTGGATGCAAGCACTTGACGCACCATGACACATTTATCTCGTACTGTGGACGGACAAGCCATCCTGCACCAGTTGGTATGCTAATTATGAAAAACTGTACCCTCTGGTAATTTAACATAGCTATTGAAAATTGCCATGTATAGTGGATTTACCCATAAAAAATGGTGATTTTCCATGGTTATGTAAACGTTTACCGGAGGGTAAATCATGGAAATGGTATTCTAACGGGATGTTTATCATCTAAGAGCTCGGTGCCGGATTTCACGACCATTCACTTGGTATGTTGTCAAATATGGACTGATGCTACTTTCCATCTTCCCACCGCCTAGAACCCAAATGACTCCTAGAAATATCCCCTGTATTTTCAACGATTCACCCTCCACTTGATTGGTCAAATATTCCAACACTGGTTGGTGGTGCACTAACCATCGTGAGAAATATGAAAGTCAATGGGAAGGATGACATCCCATATATGAAATGGAAAATTAAAAATTCATGATTGAAACCACCAACCAGCCTCCACTTGATTGGTCTTTTTTCAAACATGTTGGGTTCAAAACTGCTCCAACCCAGGGTACCCAGGGTAGCCAGGGCAGGTTTCGCCCCCAGACCCAGGGCTGTCTCCTTAGGTTTCATCACCTTGCGATACTTGTCCATTGCGCTCGCCTCAGCAAACGTTTCATCTGGGTTTTTCGCTCAACTTTTTTGAACTTTGGGATGAATAAAATGTATTATAATATGTTAAACATTGTTATGGGAAAATCATCTATTTCTATGGGCCATGGCTTCCATGGCTATGTTAAATAACCAGAGGGCATATATGGCAGTGTGTCAAAACCTTGTACCCCTGTAGTTCACATCAAAATAGCTGGGATTTATGGATGTGAATAACCCCCTAAAAATGGTATTAATAGGTATTGATCCATACCCATATGTTAAACTATAACATGTTTCGGGGCTGGATATGACATTAAGTACTGAAAGTGGCCAATTTTAGGTAATTTCATGTGTCAATTGGTACCAAAAATGTTTGAGCCACCTGCGCTGCTGAAGAACATGCACAGAACGTGTTGGGTCCCATGGAATACATCGAGAAACAAGAAATCAAAGCTGATTCCCAAATGTTTAGACTTCATGTGTAGTTTATGACTACTTATTCTGGTTGGTGGTGCAATAACCATCTTGAAAAATACTAGTCAGTTGGGACTATTCTTCCCAATATATGGAAAGTCATAAAAGCCATGTTCCAAACCACCAACCAGTCAGACGTGTAGTTTATTACTACTTATTTGCTTGCTTCAGTTTCTTCAAACATATTCAAACTATGCTCTCCCCAAAGGTCCCGTATTAGGTCCCGTGTGACCCACACCCAAAACGTGCCACAGACAGTGCCACAGGAGCCGTCAAGATACCTCCGATCACCTGTGGGGCAGGCGAGTTCAGAGTGTCTCCACCGATTTTTCGTGGCTCAGATCGCGCCCTTTGAGCCAAGGTGGCCAAGGTGAACGTGAACGTTGCGGCGACCAACAGCTCGGTGCAGAAGTATTAAGTTATACTTTCATGAAAATATTTACCACTATTTACCACTATTTACCACGTGTTTTGTAAAGGATTCTTGGGCTAAGTGGTAAAAAAATACCCGCACCTTGGAGGATCTGAGATCAATCTGCAGAAACGCTGACCATTTTTGGGGGTTTTCACTGGTGAATTCTAAGGGGAGGAGCTTCGGTAAAGATACCATGTGGCCCCCCCAAGATAGCTAAGTTGGTTAACAAAAGCCCCAGTAACTATAGTTATAAGTACCATAAACCATAGTTATTGGAGTTATAAACCAACTTAGTTATCTTGGGGGCCTCACATTGTAACTCACAACTCGATGGGAAGACAATAGAATTGGGCTTGAGACTGAAGAAATCCAACAAATAGATGCAAATAGTTCCCATGCTGTGCTACTCTTTGCCGGGTTAACCTTCGCAATGGTGCAATGCGGCATCGCCATGACGCTACACAGCGGTGAAGATCAGCCACCAGAAATCCCAAGGGAAATTGCGGCATCGCACCTCAACCATTTTCTCAGGCTTGGTCAGCATTTTCGGTTACTCCAAAATTCTCCTAATGATCAGAGTTTCCCTTGTTTCCATCTGTATATTACAATTTACATATATTTATGTCGTAATTTTATGTACAAAAAAAGCGCAGGAACAGTGAGCGTTTTAGGTTGCGAGATATCAACTCTCCTGCAGATCCCCAGGAAGCTCTAGGGAGGCAGGCACCTGAGGAGTCTGACCTGCCGCGTTGCCGAAGAGGAGTCTGACCTTCAAAATAACTGAGGTTATAACATTGTTATTTTATAACCCTCAAACAGATAGATAGATAGGAAAGGGATTTCATATCACTGTTATTGTTCTGTCTTTCTTCGGCTTGCTGTAGTTGTGACAAGACGTAGCAGCCAAATGAGCCCCTCGTGGTGTTTTTGTGGTCTTTGAGCCTTTGAGCCTTTAGCCCCCCCAAAAAAACGGAGGTTGATTCTCAACAGCGAATCGGGGAGAAACCTCGATGAATCCCTTTGACCAACTCGAGTCCTCCACGTCCACTGAGATCCCGCTGAGATCCCGCTGAGGTCCCCGGCCCCAAGCAGTGCTCCGTGCGCCAATTGAGGAAACCACTAGAGGCACCTAGAGGCACGAGAGGAGGCCATATCCATGACAAAAGGGAGCATTTCATGGGTGATTTAAGCCAAAAAAATGTGATTTCATAGGGGAGATCATGGGACTTCATGGTGCTTTGACCAACCAGAAGGAGTGATTTTTCATGGTGATGGATGGTGATTTGGTGGGATTTAATGGTGATTTAATGGTAATATAGAGCTGATGACCGGAGGGTATCCAATGCTTCTCAGCTATGTGTTTTTTCCATGAAAATTGGGTCACGCTTCCGGGGTGTGTCATTGGTTTCCATATTGAAAATGGCTAGTTTGGGGTATCCTGTACCCTCTGGTAAACTAACATAGCGAACTGGAAAATCACCATCATTTAATGGGTAAATCAACGAGCTAAATGTGCTATGTTCTATAGCAACCTCTTAAATTACCAGACCCATATGCTCCATGTATGGAATATTTACCAAGATTTACCCCATTTCTATGAGCCAGTTTTGTAGGTAAATATTCCAGCACCATGGAGCATATGGGAGAGGCTATTTCTGGTCAAACCCGCGATCGTTTCGATCGCTTCAACGGTGACCTGGCTGGAAATACCTGTGGTTTTTTCCATCCTACTTGGATCATCCTTGGTGGAAAAAAAAATAACCATAGGAAGTCCCCTTTCTCAAGGTGGGGTCATCCATGGTTATCCCATACCCATAGGATCCATGGTGCTGGTATATGTGCTAACATTTGGTGTATATTGATGGTAAATGTTACCATATATAGCATACATGGATCCTATGGGATATATAATTGGGTTTGAAATACGCATATGAACCATTTATGATTCGTGGGATGATCCTCTATCAATTGTTCCACTTGTGATCCTCCAAACCTTCCCCAGCAGTGCATTGACGAAAGGTCAACAAGGGCCACAAACCCGTGTGGGCTTGTCGTCCAACCACCATCACAGAGATTCGCAACTATTAGGTATGTATGTATGTGTGTATTTAATTTTATATCATTATATTATATATTAAACAAACAAATGAAGGTATAAATAAATAGATATAAAACTGCAAAATGAATATCTATTGAATGAGTATTGTGTCTTCCGTGTACATATCCATAAGCCCGCCAGGTTACCAGGTCTCCACACGTCCTTTGGAGCAAATGAAGACCTTTTTGGCTTCGAGGCACAGGAAACAACGTTGTTACATTTCAACCCAAGATAGAGAAAGCGCTGTGAATGTTCAGGGGGTACCATTTCATACTAGTTTATTGATGTTGTTGGAAATTTATCACTTTGTGGGTAGGCTTGCTGACTGTTTAGTGATAAATTAGTATAGACTATAGATACCTCAATTCTAGTGAATTTCCCATTGGGAACATTTAACATCATCTTAAACAAACCCAGGCAAATATTTGGGGAGTACCATGTCATAGTAGTTTATTCTCATTTATCAGTGGGTAGGCCAACTAAAAGAAACCAACCAAGGTTTTTTTTGGACGGTTAGAGGTGAGTGCACCGCCAAAGGATCCACACATCATCGCTTTGCTGGGAAACTTCAATGGATTCATCAAAAAATTGAGGCACAACTTACCAATTATAACTCAATATTCTCAATTTACCCTCTGGTTATTTAACATAGCCATGGAAAATCACCATTTTTAATAGGTAAACCATCTATAAATGGGCCATTTTCCATGGCTATGTTAAATAACCAGAGGGTAACTCCAATAAAAATGGATTCATTAATATTGGATTCATTAATATTGGAAACCAATGGCGTTTTAACTCCAAATACATGGAGGTTTCAACGATTCAAGGGATGATCCCCCAAGCCACGGCTTTGGTACCCCCAAAATCGTCCAGTTTGGATGATTTGGGGCTACCAAAAAAAGCCACACCTTGCTATGCAAGGAGATCGCTCCCCAAAAAAAAAGAAGCCACTTTGGAGACCAACTTGGCATGATTTTTTTTCCCGACTTATATCCATGTGTCAACCATGTATCAACCAAGTAGACCAAGTTACTGTTACCAATAATGACTGCTGAGTATAGACTCTTGCTGTCAAAAGTGGCAATGTTACCTATTTGTCCAACCAAACCAACGTTTACAGTACTCGGTTGCTGGGTAGTGGTCATGTTCACCATGGATTTTTCGACGCGCCACTGGATATGGCAGCTCCGTGTTGGCTTTCCGGCGGTTTGGGAGCACCTGCCAGGATTTGCGAATTTTCCCAGTGGCAAACTGCAATAAATGATGGTCTTGGAGAATTTTACCATAAAAAATTGGCTTTCCATGGCTTTCATTGATTTTGCTGAGTCTGAAAATGGAGTATACCCCAATGTATGGCTATCTGAGAGGGGTACATCATAATCAACCAGTAGATTTTGGGGTACCATATTTTCAGGCAAACCCATAAACATACCCACCACAATTGGAGATTAGGTTGTTCAGGTGGTGTGCCATAGCAAAAAAATAATGAAACTGCCTGCTTGCATCAAAAGAAATATGTTTTATCATGTTCTTTGCATCTGGAATCCAACTGCATTTGTTTCCCTTTTCCAACAGCTCAGTACTGAATTCCAAGTGTTAAACAGTATGAACCAAGGAAACTATCATGTGGGTCTGTCCAAACATGTCCAAACATTCGGTACACCCAAATCGGATTAACTGCCTCATTGCCTCATTGTCCACATTAAGAATCATTAAAATTAGCTAAAATTGGTATATTCATTGGAGGTTAATCCCTCATTGCCAGGTACCAAACCCACATCGCAACGTTCCGTGCCTCGAAAAAACTCTGGTGAATGGCTACGGCCTGCAACGTGACCCGGTCACCCGGATTCCGGGTGACCAGGGATCTCAGGATGGTCGACAACAAAACATAGACTCAACATAGACATGGGTCGAACCATGGATCCACTAAGACGGCTTAGTGGATCTGGGGATAGACGCAAACAAAACCTAGCAGCACTGAGAAACACGCTGCCAATCCAATCATGCCAATACCCTGCAGAAAATGACAAATTCTAGCCGGTCACACCACATATTCCATGGCAAAAGAAGTAAAGTATCAAAGTACTCATCCAAGGTTTCCCAGTATCCAAACCAAGAGTGAAACCAAATCGAATGGTTATACCCAAATAATTGTATTGTTGGTTATACAAGCTTGGTCATATCAGCTTTATCACCATATTGTCTTATAAAGCTCATAGTTCCATAACAATGTCATATATGCTAACCTTCCATCCATGTTAATCTATCCTGTGGTTGGGAAACTCTAAGTAGATCCTGAGCTCCCCATTTAGTGGGGAACATGGATAGCCCTAGCTCCTAAACGCTCCCGCCACTCACCACTGGATAGATCATCTGCGCCTTCCAAAAGTCTTCCAATTGCTCTGGTGATCCGCAGAGTGTCGCCTCAACGCCTGCAACGAGGAAAATCTGGAAATTCATGAGAATTCATAAGTTTTGTATGGAAAAGTCATAGAAATCGTAGAGTCTTACGTGGGAAAGGCATTGGATAATCTCTATCTTAAGATATTATCTTGAGTCTCAAAAAAAGAAAATATTCATGTCATGTGTTACCATCTTTTGATGGCAAAATCAGCTACAGTATAAATGAACATATAAAATGGAGGATGCTCAAATGCCATGTTTGTTTACTGGGTGTCTGCCAACTGTTGCTTATCAGTTCTGTGGAAATGTCAGATGTTCTAAGTTTGCGATATTTTCTATGAGTTTGTCTGAAAATGGGGTATATACCGCAAAACCACAAGTACGATATAAGGGATAATGGATTATCAAAATAGCCACTAGAAATTAGCTTAATTCTAGCCCAACTTCGGACACGCCCTCAGAATTTTAGCCCAAAGATGCCTCCCCAGATGTCGCCAAGCCATCCACCCACCTGTTCCGTCATCGGCACGCAGAAGCAGGCGAGAGTCCTCAACCAGCAGAGGGGCGTCAAAATCTTGAGAGAATCGATGGGAATCACGGGCAGTACATTCCAAACGTGTTTGGTGTTTTTGGCCGAAATAGTCTTGCAAAGCGGTTCCCACAGATGATGGTTCCGAATAATTCCTGGAATCCCAAACGGAAGTCTGTTGGGGATGGCCCAATGGTGTCCATCATGCACGGGAGCACCTTGAAAATGTCCCTCCCCGCCACAGTGATCTTAGGTCGGATGGAGATACTCCCAGCGATTGCTATTGTTCTGGATGATACGCCTCTCCCATATGGGTCTGATAGCCCAACATTGGTACAACACATCTTCTGGAAAGTGACTATGGTCCACCACAGCTTGAAATGCCCACTTTGTTGCTGCTCAGCAGTTATCAAATTGGCCAATATTTAGCATCCCCATCAAGAATCAACTTAACTTTGGCATCCACCCAGAAAACAAAAATAAACATTTCAAGTTCGTATGCCAAACAAATGAAAAACACATGATCCGACACTCCCAATCTCCTTGGTATGACCGAAAGCCTCCATGAAACGACCGCCCATACGATCATCCCACGAATCGAAGTGGCTAATAACCATATTTAGAACCCAGTTACCTTCATAGGAACCCCTCTGGGGACTCACCAGGGTTAAACCCAAAACCACTTCCGATTCGTGGGGGATTTTCCTGAAGGTCATATCAGTCCTGAGACAGGCGCAGTACCTGCAGCCACGATCTTGACAGTGGTGGGTCAACAGCATGTAGCCCTGCTGTTTACATCTTTTTGAGTATTTTACCTGATTTTCAAAAGCAAGAGCAAAACCCAAAAGTGTTTCAAGGATTTGGGTTCACTCTTCCAGAAAATATCTGGCAAGATGATGCAAGAAGAGTCTCGTTCGGGATATGAATAGCTACCATTAGCTACCTATGTTCGTGTTTTTTCCGGATGTATATCTGATTCACCTTCCATCACCTTCCTAGTTGGTGGTTGACCTACCCCTCTGAAAAATGATGGAGTTAAAGTCAGTTGGGATGATGAAATTCCCAACGGAATGGAAAGTCATAATCCATTCATGTGCCAGTCACCACCAACCAGCTTCAGATCATTCCAAAACTCCCAAAACGTGGCACCGCAGGCGGCTTCGCCATGGCATCTCGAAAGCTGGCTTCGAGGCTGTGCTGGAGCTGTGCCTTCGCTGGCGCAACGGTCCGCAAGGAGTTTCCCAACCTCGTCGTCCTTCGGTGGGAATCATCGGTTCAACGAGATCCAAATAGGAATGGAAGACCAGACATGGCATCTGGTATTTGACCATAACTCTGGAAGCCATGGCCCAGTTCGTTCGAGGATTTACATGGATTTACTATATGATTTGCCTATATTAAAAGGCTATCTTTTCCATAGTTACGTAACAAACTCCCAGATAGCTGAAGCCGCTCCCAGGCATCCCCACTCTCACACGGCGAACTTTCTGTCGCCTTCAGGGGAGAAGACTGGGTACAACTCTACAACTCTACACTCATGGTTTGCCTGTTCTATCCCAACTACCTGCATGAACATGCATGAACTGCCAACAATAGACTATCTGATTAGTTGCTAATGGACATTTGTCCCGCAGGATTTACCTGCAACTCTTTTATTGCATGACTGTCATGACTCAAGAGTCATCCCTACGTGGCGCAATGGATGGAAATTCCGCCCGAAAACGATTTTATCATCTCACGGAACAAATGGAGGTGTTCACCATTGGAATTTTGGACCAAACATAGGAAAACCATGGAAAACCCCTGAAAAAACGTGCTTGGCCGTGTCCCAAAAGTTACAGTGTCATCATCCCCAGCAATGGCGCAATGGCAACTACGGTTGCGATGCCTCGCCTGGCTCCTCCGTAGCGGCTGCTTGGAATGATGCGACGTAAGAGCTCCGAGGCAACCTGGTGCAGGACAAATGCACCGCGAATGCTCCGCGATAACATCAATAATGAGCTTGCGATACCATGATGTATTTACCCTCTGGCAAACTGTCACATAACTATGGAAAATCACCATTTTTAATGGGAAAACTCACTATAAATGGCCATTTTCAATAGCTATGTTAAATTACCAGAGGGTATCTATATTACGTATAGATTGTATTACATTGTTAAATAATACTACATCAAAAAAACATAGTATATACTATATACATTGTCTAGATCTTAGTATCAACATGTATCAACTACCCAATAGTATCCCATCATCCATCGGACAAGGTGGTTTTTAGGCAAACATCAGGCGAATTCCATGTTCTCTGACTATATGCTATGAACTCACTACTTTTGGATGTTAATAAACCAACTTCAACGTGGCTATATGGGCCACCTCGTAGGGCAAGTATTTCATCAGTATCGGTGAATGACAGCTTTTTTTTCATGACATGGGCCCCATATGATCCATCTCTGTAGCCACTTATCTATTCTTCATCTATTGTATGTAGAGATTCTTCATAGCAGGTGCCAGGTGGTGCCAGGTCGAGTTAATTAAAGTTTGTAAAAATACCTCCCATAAAACTGCGATGAATCCCAATCCCCCATCTCCGATCTCCTTCCTTAAAAGGAGGATATTTATCTCAACATATACCCAATCCATATGGATCAAAAGTCAACCAGATCAACTACTGAGAAAGATGGTGATAAAACATGTTGAAAAACTAGCATCTGGTTATGACTAACAGTTCGCCATGGAAAATCCCAACCATAAATGGAGGTTGATGTCGCTGGGAAAATCATTTATTTCTATGGGCCATGGCTTACAATGGCTATGTTAGTCATAACCAGAGGGTTTCGGAGTTTTGTCTCATGGAAAATGGCCCATTTATAGATGATGAACTAGAAAAATGGCCCATTGACAGAGGGAAAATCATCTATTTCTATGGCATTAAATGGCCCATGTTCATCCATTTTCATCCATTTTCCATGTTTTGACTCATGGAAAGTCATCGTTTCCCCCATGTCCTACGGTGTTTTACCACTGCCTTCTGATCCACGAAGACGATGCGCGACGGCGATCCAGCGAGTTCCACGGCGTTGACCATCGAAACGTCGCTGCCCACCTTGGGATCCTAAAAATCCATGGCACTTTTGTGAAATTATCGGGAATTGATGGATTTTAAGGTTTCTTATGAACTATAAATAAGTTTTGAATGGAATTTGAGGTTTCTTATGAACTATAAATAAGTTTTGAATGGAATTTGAGGTTTCTTATGAACTATAAATAAGTTTTGAATGGAATTTAAGGTTTCTTATGAACTATAAATAAGTTTTGAATGGAATTTAAGGTTTCTATCAAATAAATTCCATATGGAATTTCATGGAATTGAAGGTTTCTAAAATGTTTCTTTTGGCCATCAAATAACTATAGAATAACTAAGCAATAACCCCGATAAGTTGGGATGTAGCCCCTGTACCTGTAGCCGTATACTTATCTATTACCGTCATGGTAAATACATGGGTTCTTCTTACCATCAATGAATGCCAAAACTGATGTCAATAATGATCAAATAATGTCAAATATCACAAAATTGAGCAAAAATAGAGTAATATTCAAAAATGATATCAACTATCTTGGTTCCTTTAAACCTTTACAATATATGAGCTAGTTCCTTTCCGTCTTGGATTTTAATGGTACCTCGCGGTGCCAGAGTTGGATCAACGGGAAAATCTGCTTCGGAAACCAATGGTGGTTTTTCTGCACAAAATTCACAAAATGTCCATGAACAACCAATCCGATGCGATCTTGATAGGATTCAGCTACTTCGTTGACAAATGTTGACAATGTATTTCATTCCAGAAGTATAATTATAGTATAATTATAGTATAATATATCACCCAAAATGCCCTCAGGCCAAGAACATGGTGTACTGAGAAACTGTGGATTGATCTCCTCATCACCCTTTGTGGCTCGTCGCTTGTTTCAACTACCATTGCTACCATCCCCTTCTGCTGGCGTCAGGCAGAACTCCCCATGAAACCTTGGGTGCTTCTCAGCTGTCTCCCGTTGTTGCGGCTTCAATCCCCAAGTTCGCTGGGTTTTGAATCGCAAGTTACGGTTACAGTAAATCCCCATGTCTTTTTCATTGAAATGCTGAATTCAAACCTTTTTTTTTGTTGAAACTAAAGTACCCCATAATTTCTTGTTGAAATGCCCATTCTCGCCCTTGAAACCTCCGCCTTACCAGTGAACTCCGAGGTTTTGTCGTTGGAATCCCTGGCCCAGGTGCCTCTTGCGCAAGGCGTCGCGTCGCCTTCAAGAGGCCTTGCAGCCGTCCGGGGGGGCGACCCTCACTCATTTGAAGCCCAGTTAGGAGAGTTCAAACATGTAAACTAAACCCTGCTGTTCAACCCATTCTTATCACATTCAACTGATACCCCAATCGATTCTTGATCCAATTACAGCAGTATCTTCTTTCATAGCTGTCTAAGGATTGAGGTGCAGGTTTGGTGAGTTGGAGCCAGCGTTCCTGGGATGCACGTACTTGGAGGATCACCCTCCCCACTCGCCAGTCAAAAATTCATCGGGCGTTTGCTCCCCTCTGAAAGTACCTCCAAGGTCCTCTGTTTGCTCCAAGTATCCAAATCTCCATTAGATATTGTTGGTTACATATACCAATGGTATCCCTGCTATATCCCCATTGATAATGGGTAAACCCGCATTGTACCGAGCCCAAACTCTCTCGGCCCCCGCGCTCATCAAACGGGACCCGCCCGTGAGATGCAGCTCTTTCCGAAGCCGCTGATGCGTCTGATGCGAGGAATGGTCGGAAGGCAGCTGAGCAATGCACAACCCCCAGGTGTTTGATGATCAAATAACCAGCAAAACGTTGTGCTTCAACCAATTCAACCATCAACAATTCTGATCTAATAACCAAGCATATGTCGGTATACCATTGCCAATCTTAGATACCGTACAAAAAAATAAATTCTTAGCTGGTGAACGTAGATAATCCCAGCAAGATACCCAGCAAGACTAAGTTAGATTAGTTTGTAGCCATCCAATTCTAACCATGGTTAAGCTAGATACACACGGTACCGGTACCTGATACGTTGGTTCACCTAGGCCCATCCCGTCCGACAATCTCGACCCACGTTGAATACCTCGGTGAGTTGCAAGATCTTCTCCTGCGGAAGCGGTGTCTGCAACATCTGCTCCAGCTGGACCTCGGCTGGGGACAAAGTGCTAATTGATATGTTTAGCCCGTTTAGACATGCTGCTTTCCAATCCTAACTAATATCTCAAGATTCAATATGCATATATATATAATGCATCTTATTATTATTACATATCATATATTATAATATATATATATATGATACGATATGTATATATATATATACGGTATTATAATGTATTATATAATATGATATGATACATATATATATATTCAAGGTGCTCAAAATGCCAAGACAAAGAATCTCCCCCAGACCAAGAGTCAGGTGTGCACAATCTTACTCTCCGAGGAAAAAAAAAAGCCAAAAACAACCTAGAGCCTGGAGCCAGAAGTGTTGTGAAAACAGATCTTGACATACAGCAATTTCCGCTAGGACTGAATTCCATGTCCTTACAGTACCGGGTACATGTGTATGTATATATATATATTATGTCTACCCCCGCAAATTCACATAGACCCTGAAAATGTCGTCAACTTTTAGTGGAAAGTAATGTATCAACCCCTACTTGGCAGATGTTAGTTGGAGGATGACCGTTGAATTTTCGATCACCACTATCTCTGAGACGCCCTACATCATGCTCGGCGATTTGGTGACACCACACCTGCAACGGGGCAAGATATGTCAATTCAAACAACGTGGAATCATGTTTCAAAGTAGGGATGAAAAACTCACAGCAGCAACAACAACAACAACAAGGACAACAGGAACAACCACAACAACCACAACCACAAAAAAAAACGCCAAAAACAAACAAAGAACATTGAGAGCATTAAGAACACACACACAAAAAAAAAACACAACCACAACCCCCTTGATGGAAGACCAGATTTGAAGTCGTTATCTATCAAAAATCATCCAAGGTATATATATATATATATGCATTGTATAAATATATATATAACTATGTATGTTATATACAGAAGATAAAGACAGTCTTTGCAGGATAGTAGAAATAAGAAACCAAACATCTTTTGAATATCCTTCCTTGCTCATCCTAGCAGTGCCCAGAAGGAACCCCTTGTATTTTCTGTCCGACATCTTGGAGGTACCATTCCCTGTGTATGGACACTTTCTTCCACCTTTCGTTTCCTATCATGTGGTTGGGAAGCTTCAAGTAGCTCCTTGGCTCCCCATTCTCTCATTGGGAATATGGATACCCATAGCTTCTTAATTCCCTCCTAACCCTAACCACGGGATAGTTTCTTATACTTACATCACTTAGGCTGTAAAACAGCACGTGGCTTTCTCTGAAAAAGTACCTATGACAAAACTCAAAAAAAAACTTCGGTATCGGTATATCAAAAAAAAAAATTCTTAAGATGGCTATATATGAAACTGCGGGAGATCTGTCATTTCAAGACAGACCCGGTGCCGTCGAAAGTCCCCCTAATTATCTATCTCATCATGGTTGATGGTAGATCTCTGGTAATCCATGCTTAATCCCACTATCTCATCATTGAAAATACCCTCTGGTAAACATAGAAAAAGCTATTGAAAATGGCCATTTATCATTTATAGTGGATTTTCCCATTGAAAATTGTGATGTTCCATAGTTATGTAACAGTTTACCAGGCCGGGTACTTTGGTTGATGGTTCCCATTCAAATCCACCAGGATCGCCGGGCGCACCCTGTTCCTGCACCGCCGTCGTCTGAAGCGTCGACCGCCACAGCGGCCGCCTTCCACGACCCGACGGAAGCGATCGAAGGCCAGGCGCACGGCGGCCCATTGATCTCGGCAGATCTTCACCGCAGAAAATGGTGGTTTTAGGGTGAAAGGTGGTGGTTTTACCAGATGAAAATATCACGGTTTTAGCCAAAATTTGATGATAAGAATAGTGGTTTGATCCTCAAAAAATGTGTGTTGCCACTAAACATGGAGATTGAATTGGAAAAAATGGAGAAGATAGGCATCAAAAAGTATGTTTACCATCAAAAACATTGGGATTTCACCAGGAAAACATTGGAAATTCCATCATTTGGGTAGGAGATGGTAGGAGTATGTCTCAAAACCAGGGTTTCCCCACGCAATCGCCAATCCAGCCAGCTGTGTTCGATTACCAGAGGCGGGGATCAAGAAGGGGATAGCATGACCCCAGTAGCTACCTCGGAATCAAAATATACCCCTGGAATATATACGCTGTTGTACTGTACACACTACGAGGTCTATCCCAAGACCTATCCCATAACATATCCCACGACGTATCCCAAATATCAAGGGCCATGCGGGAACCCACTTGGTAGCAACACCCCGAGCCATCTCACTAACAGGCCATTGGTCAAACTGTTGGTTCAAAAAGCAACCAATTCATTTGCGTTTCTCTTTCTGTCAGGAAGAACACATGGTGTGTCTCTTTATTAAGAGCTTGCTTTGGGGGTACACCCAAATTCAATGGGACTTTTCCGGCGAACCGATCGTCAAGGAACCATGGAAATCGCGCACATAGACGGAGTCTTTGCCCGGCAGTGGACGATTGATCCTGCGTAAGGAAGCAGCTAGAGCAGGGGGTGCTGGTAAGTGATGGCTATCTTCATGAACGCTCACAACCTGTTTGGCCCATGCGTTTAAATCGATGAATGAGTCATCTTCAAAGTGAATTTGGTGGGATATGTAAAAGATGTAAGATGTAGTTGGATAATTATGCACATATACATATATGTAGATATCTGGGCATGTATGCATAGTATCTGCTAAATGTGTAACGATCTAGAATCTACATTACATTAGATTATATATTTATATATGCATGTATACCGTCTACATTTGTGTGTAGATGTATAAATATATACATATATCATCCGTACATGTTTCTTTATTCCACACGCAGAATATTCCACACCCACGCAGATCGCCCGGAACAGCCTGGAAAGAACTTGCACCATCTTCACATGACTTTCCAAGCACCTTTACGCTGCACAACATGCATCGTGGCAAACGTAAGGATTTACCATGTATAAACTCTCCTTAGATCGCTCCCCAAAAAATAATACATCCAAGACTAAACCAGGGTTTTCTGGTGGTTTGATATTGAGGATTGTACATTCTGCCTTTTGGATCCCTTTCGATTCTACTTCTACAGTCGTTGGAGTCCTGTCTCTCCTCAATATGCTTACCAGTTTTCGAAGACCCAGCAAACAAAAAAATAGACCACGTTTCTCATCTCATTTTATGTCGGATATTTAAGGCCAATGAAGAGAACAGACAAAACAGTGGCCACAAGACAATTTGGGGGAAATGGGGTTTGTTGACCCTGTGGCTGAGATGCGTAGACGACAAATAATCCATGTGATCTTTGCATAGATGGTCTATCCGATACAAATGCATGCCTAACACATGTTTATGGATATTTTCTGTAGACTCCATGCAAATATTATATATTATATATATACACTGTATATATTAATATGTATACATATGAAATGTCATGTAATTATACGTGCGTATCTGGGTAAAGTGTAATAATTGACCTGAATAGTTGCCCCTACTAACCATTCCAGAGAGGTCTCCCGGTGAGGTCGTTATAATTTACCCAGATGCATGTGTATATGATATTCGAATGTATATATTAATGTGAATTCTGAGGCGACTGACCTGGAATCATTTCCATTACATTTGGTAGATGTGTTCTACCGGAGCTGTGCTGGCTCGACTCGGGCCTTGGGGTTGTGTGCGCAGAAAAGGATGCGCTGGTGCTTTGCCAACTACAGTGGTAGGCGGAGCTGGTAGATCCTGTAGGACCTGTTCAGTTGTGTGAAACTTAGCGGTAGCGCAATGCAGAATGTGCCATCGTCGCATGGCTCGTTGGATGGTGATCCCGAAGGTGAACCTAGGGATGAAGGTGCGAAGCTGTCACCGACCGATGATGGTGATGGCTTCAACAGTGATGAGTTTCGTGAATGGCTAGCACAAAGGAAGTCCCGTTCAAGGACGGCAACGCGTCGAAGTCGACGACCGGAGCTGGAGGACGGGAGCGACGGAGATAGAAGTTCTGCTGGCCAAAACAGGGGGTCGGGGACCGGACCACCGCCACCAGAGTGGGACGGTACCTCGATCTCCTTTCAGGACTGGTTGATCAAGGCGAGATTGTGGTTGGCGACTACAAGGGCAAAACCATGCTCCCAAGGCCCGATGATTCTTCAGAGATTGTCTGGTCAGCCCTTCCAATCGCTGAAACATTACGCCAGAGATCAACGATGGTTGAACGATGACAAGAACGGCAAGAAGCTGCTGGACGTGATGGACACACCGGAGTTATTCGGTGAGGACAGGGAGGAGGAGCTCCTAGCAGCTCTGGCGAAATTGACGTATCATCTGAAACGTCAACGAGATGAGGGCTGTCGCTCCTTCTTCAACAAGTTCGACGACGCGGTCCGCAAAATCCAGGAGCACAACGTGGACTTGCCGGAGAAATACTTGGGCTTCCTTCTGATCAACTCCTTGAACATCTCGGAGACGGACATCAAGGCCATGTTGGCTTTTACCCAAGGGTCCATCTTGGTGAGAGATGTGAAGGGTTGGTGTAGGAAACATGAGATGAAGCTGCTGGCCAAGGATGTGGGTGTTGATCGCACCAAAACTCCCTTGACGTCAAAGGCAAGTGCGGTGATGAGTCTTCAGGCTGAGGAAGAGGAGCTTGATGATGAGGAGCTGATGGCGATGGAGGAACTATGGCGAGAGCTACATCCTGGAGAAGGTGACGATGAGATTGCTGAGACCTACCTGCCGGAGGATGACGACGTGATGGAGGAGCACGAGGCGAAGGAGGTTCTTTCCACGATGCTGACCCAAAAGAAGAAAACGTTTATGCAGAGCCTTCGAACCAAGAGGGCGAAGAACCTAGCCCGAGGCTATGGACAATGGAGGAACAATGGATCCTCTGGTCAGAGGTCACAGGGCTCTATGTCAACCAGCGGCTATGTCAAGGGTGGCTTCTACAGGATGTCCCTGAGTGAGGCCAAGTCGAAGTCGCGATGTGCCAAGTGCCAACAAATTGGCCATTGGCATAAGGACCCAGAGTGCCCGATGAACAAAGGGGGCAACAGTCAGAACACGAAGTCCAAGGAGGTTAACCTGCTTGAATCGGAGGAAGTGATCTTCTGCGGACTACTTGATCAAGTTGAAGAATCCACCCGAACCAGCACAACTGAGCGCCCGACTGAGCCGAGTTCTGGTCATTTTGACCGTGAGACGACTGTACAGGACAGTGTGAACACTGACCATGGAGTTGGACAGTCGAATTTTGAGCAAGCCTATAAGGGCCGCCGGGTTGATGAGTGTTGTGATGTTAGCGGTTTTTCTTTTGGGGTTGGGGATCGTGATGTTTGGAGGAATGAACTTGATTTGTATTGGAATGAAAATATCAGCAACTGTCATAGTAATCCTGAGATCCCCAAAGATGAGCTATGTGCAACCGTAGACACTGGGTGTCAAAGAATGGCTGTTGGCATCGATACCCTCAAGAAGATGAATGCCTTTTTACCGCCAGGGTTGCAAACACAACTGGTACCTCAAGAACATCGTTTTCGGTCGGTTCACGGAACTTCAACCACCAGGTATGTTGCGGTGATCCCAACTAGTCTTGGCAAGCGTGGAAGTTTTCTTCGTCCAGCAGTTTTTGAACATGGTGAATCACGAACGGCACCTTTTCTCATCTCCTTGCCCTTCCTGATCCATTGTCAAGCAGTGTTGCACTTAGATTCTAGTAAGGGTTTGAGAATCAACTTCAGAAAACTTGGATTCACGGTTCAATGCCACCTGGGACCCACCGGTGCCTTGAGAGTACCACTGTCACATTTCACACATGAGAGTTTAGCTGGCGTGATGTCAGCCCAAAAACAAATGAGGTCATCAGGTAAGGAATTTGAGGTTTTGAAAACCACCATGGAAGAACTATGCAATGAACCTGGATCAAATCCTTTCAAGCCGGACTGCCCCAAACCTGATAGGCCTGCTGAACCGGTTCAACCTCGCCATGGAGAGCCGGGGACAAGCCAAAAGGGCTCGACAGAGCCCCACCGAGGGCCACGAGCCGATGAACTCATGGCGCCGCATGGTCCTGAAGTTAGTGATGATTCTGATCCATGTGACCACGTTGGCCATCAACCTGTTGATGCCCAAGCAGAAGAAGGCCCCGTTCTCCATATGGCCTCTCCCAAAGATCCCGGAAGGGACACTGTCGGATGTGGAAAGTGTGGGGAGCTTCCAGATGATCAGCGACTCGGAGGATCGACAATCCCAGGCATTCTCCCCGGTGAGTCAACCACCGGCACCATCTTCACCGGCACCAAGCCAGTTCTCGGAGGGCAAGGACTACATCACGGACGAGGACCTGATGATGATGGGCCCACCACCAGTATGCCATCATGGAGTTCCGACCAGGATGTTTGTGACCCGCAAGCAGGGCCCCAATCTGGGAAGAACCTTCTGGAGGTGCCCGAAGGAGCGCCACGAGCAATGCCCCTACTTTGCATGGACCCTGTTCCAACCGCTCTGGTTGCAGGAGGAGATCAATGCCTCCCCAGCGGGAGTCTGGAAGCCACCACCAGCGGCGAAGAGCACATCGGCACCAAGCACTCCCGGGAGTATGTCAACGGCAAGTTCCACGTCGAGGGGGCCGGTATGCCATCATGCTCGGACCCGGAAGAGCGGATCCAATGGACATCAACGTCGAGTGACATGTTGCGATTGCGGAACGATCCTGGAGTACGAGAACCTGGAGAAGTCAGAGAGCAGCGAGTCAGAGACGAAGCAAAAGAAGAAGACCGGCAAGAAGATGACGTCCAAGGAGCTGGAGGAGTTCGAGGAGTTCCAGGAGTTCAGACGTTGGCAGAAGGACCGGAGTTCAGGGTCCGATCAGGGGAAACGTTAGGCTTGACCGAGCAAGAGATTCGGCACCTGTCCAAGCCTGTTAGTCCAAGGAAGACTAAGCAATTGAATAGGGTAGTGAATCAGGCAAAAACTGCCCTTAGGACCGCTGAAGGAGTTTGGGAAGAACTTATGAGCTTGGTCTGTACAGCACCCAATGAATGTGAAGCCAAAGGGTGGCAGGATTTCTGGACCGAAGCTGCTGATTCTCAGAACACGTACCGTGTTACTAATCGCAAGGCGATGCAAAAATATGGCAAGCTGCTGAACCGGGACCCCCATCAAATGAAAACGGTTGCGGAAGTGTATAACCCCCAACGTTTTGGTAAAAGGGCTAATCATTTTGGGTTAATACAAGGGGAAGCGTTTGATTTGACATTGGGACATGACCTGCTGAAACCGTGTTTTCGTGATGAGGTCTTGAGGTATTTGATGGAGGTAAAACCAGGTCTTGTAATCATCTCTCCACCTTGCACCTTATTCTCTCTTCTTCAAAACATGAACGTCAACAAAAACACTCGACGTTACCTGCAGAGACTAAGGGATGCCAAACGGTTACTAAGGTTGGCGGCAAAAATAATGAGACTGGTGATGTCATATGGTGGCTGTTTTGTGTTCGAAAACCCCCTGACGGCACGGACGTGGTTAGAGACCGAAGTGCAGCAGCTCATGGACTTGGATGAGGTCATTTTGGTCGCAGCCGATCAATGTCGCTTCGACCTACGATCTCTGGATGGAAACCTGCACAAGAAGCCGACTGGCTTCCTGACCAACTCACCGGCGATCGCCGAACAACTGTCTAGGAGATGTGATGGAAGCCATGAACATGAGCAGATCCTGGGCAACAACCATGGAGGCAGTCGAGCTCGACAAGCCCAGGAATACCCTCCAAAGTTGGTCGATGCCATTTTACGTGGATACAAGAATGAGATCAAGCAAGAGAAGGAAGTACATGTGACTGGAGTTGCTGGACTTTACCAAGAATGGCATCAACGTCAGTGTCGACAACCGACTCTGGAGGAGATTATCCCCTGTCAGACCATCAAGGAGATCTATGCCAACAACGATGAGCAGGTGCTTGAGAATGAGGACACGGTGGAGGAGCCTGTTCTACCTGGACCTGATTCAGAACCCGGACGCTCTCAAGAATGCCCTCCACCTCAAGAACCAGGACTAGCTGTTCTACCTCCTCATGATCCAGTTGCACTTCCTGATGCAGAATCTGGCGGCCGACTCCCTCGAGAACGACCCTTTTCGACAGAGCAACTGGTTCGTCGTGCCCATGAAGGACTTGGACATCCTGGCAACGATCGGTTGGCCAGGATCCTGAAAAATGCAAAGGCTTCGAATGAAGCCATCCAGATTGCGAAGAATCTGAAGTGCTCCGTGTGCCAGCAACATGGAGCAGTTCATCCAGCCCGTCGAGGAGCACCTCCTAGACAACTACATGTGAATGAGATAGTGGGTGTGGACACCGTTTACATCCCCACGATCGACGGCAAGAAAAGAATGGCTCTCAACATTGTGGACTGGTCATCTCGCTTCCAGCTCATCATACCACTTCGGCGACATACACCTGGAGAAGCTCGAAAGGCATACTCCCAGTGGATCAAGTTCTTTGGACCACCGACTCGAGTCTACGTGGACTTGGGAAGAGAATTTCTGGGCGCCTTTGAGCTGGGAGCTGAACATGATGCCACTGTTTTTGAACCTAGCTCCCTGGAAATGCCCTCTCAACGGGGGATTACCGAAAGAGCTGGCAAGAACTTCAAGGAGGTCTTCAGCCGAACCCTGATGCAGTACACTTGCCAGACCGAAGAGGAATGGGAGCTGCTTTTGGACATCGCGAATATGACGTGCAATCGACTGATCAACAAATCGGGTTTTAGCCCCATTCAGCGAGTCCTTGGGTACAGTCCACGTGTTCCAGGTGGTATTCTTACAGGAGGTTACAACGATTTTTCAACTCGAAGTCTTCGAGGCGGTGACCTTCAGCTGCAAAAGGCACATGAGATGAGATTGGCCGCTGCCAGGGCTTTTCATGAAGCGGACTGCCAACAAGCTGTCAAAAACACCCTACATGCCGGACCCCGTCGACTACACGATTATGAAGTTGGACAGACAGTCTACTTCTGGAGAAAGGGGATGGAAGGAGCAAAAAGGGATAGCCCTGAGTATTGGAGGGGACCAGCTAGAGTCGTTTTGACCTCGCCTCCTAGCACAGTGTGGCTGAACTATAGAGGTTACATTGTCAAGGCAGCACCAGAACAGCTGAGATTGGCAAGCGAAGAGGAACAATTCACCTTGACCAAGTGGATCGATGATATTGCCCAAACACGACAAGAGATCGAACAACAACCTCGTGTGGGCTACATCGACCTCACCAAGGAGACCTTCCCAGAGCTCAAGGATGAGGATGAGAACACGACGGAGAAGGCCGAAGATACCGAGAGACAACCACAATACCGACTGATTGGCAAAAGAGATCACCGGGAAATCATCTTTAAAGGGGAAAACCTACAGGATGAATGGTATGTAGATGAGGAACTACAACTCCTGGTCCGTTTCCATCATCAACCACGAGATTGGCTTTTCTCACCGGATGAGGCATCTGCCGATTGTCCTATTGAACAAGAGTATGTGAGTCATCAGAGGAGGACATTTGGACGGTATGTCAATACAGGCAAGACGTTTCAGGTCAATGACAACTGGTATGAGAACATCGAGTTGGAAACAATGACATCTTGGACCGGAAGAACAGAGTTCGATATCGTCCGGGAAAAACCAATACATGCACGAGATCCTGCCGGAGAAGAACCGACCTTGAAGAAGCCACGAAAGAGTTCAGGAGAGCAGAATGAAGAAATTCCTTCCCCGAGCATCCCTGATGAGGAGAATGAGTACGAGCCTGAGGAACCACTTGACGATCTACCTCGAGGAGAAGTACGACAGCGGGAGAATGAGGAGCTCTATGACCCTGTGGACGACGAGAAGCTCTCGACTGGAGAACCGGAAGCGAAAAGACTGAGAACCCAATTTTTGGAGCTCTACATGACCAGCGTCGAGAAGATGTTGCAGGCGAAGATGAAGAAGGAGGTCCAGTACAACCAGATTCCAGACCACCAGAAACAACAATTTCTGGCTGCGATCAAAAAGGAGATTCAGAACAACCTGGAGACCAATGCCTATGAGGTACTGGACCCCGTCACGTCTGAAGAGATCAGACGAACAGCCAATGACAAGATTGTGAAGTCTCGATTTGTCCTCACTGAGAAGCCTATAGAACGAGAGGATGTAGAGAAGGCCAAGAAGGATGGAATTCTCTTAGAAGACAAGGGCGATGACAGTCTGAAGGCCAAGGCAAGACATGTGATGAAGGGATTCAGTGAAACCAATGCAGAAGAACTGGAAACAACCACCCCACAGTGTGCCAGGGACACGGTTCTATGCGCCCTTCAGTTGCTTTGTAGCCACCAATGGATACCAGGCTACTTGGACTTCACCCAGGCCTTTCACAGCGGTGATAACATTTCCCGGGAGGTGTACGCATCACAGCCCAGTGAATGTGGACTTCCCGGATACCATCCTCGACAACTTCTCAAATTGAAGAAGACCTGCTATGGCCTTTTAGATGGACCCTATGCATGGTACCAACATCTTCTGAAGGTGCTCACCAAAACGTTGGGATACCGACAAAGCGCAGGAGATCCATGCCTATTCTACTTGACCGTCGATGACGAGGCCAAGACGTTGAAAGGTGTGATCAGTGTAGCAACGGATGATCTTCTACATGGTGGAGATGATGATCACTGGAAGAAGATGCAGTGGCTCAATGAGAACTACAAGCTTGGAAAATTTACTCAAGGTGATGGACGTTTTGTCGGCAAAGAAATTCACTGCCGACCTGATGGCAGTTTTCTGGTCAATCAACCACTGTTTGCGAAGAAGATCCAGCCGATTCTTCTGACCAAGACCAGAAAACAGGAAAAATATGCCTACTGTACCGACCAAGAAATCAGTCAACTTAGAGGGCTACTTGGAAGCCTATCTTGGCTTGCAAAGGAAACAAGACCGGACTTGTCCGGACGGGTTGCACTTCTTCAACAAGCAATGCCCAAGCCCTATGTGCAGGACATCATCGAGGCCAATGTCTTAGCAAAGGAAGCTGTGAAGTTCGCCGAGATCGGCATCACAATCCAGCCCATACCAATTCAACACCTCCGTGTTGGAACAGTGTCGGATGCCTCATGGGGAAATACCAGCCCAGAGAAGGAAGAAACCGATCCGAATCAACGTGAAGATTACTGGGAAGAGAAGCAGGACTGTTGGATCCGACATCATGTACGACCACGTCGACTTCTTTTCCATCCTGCAGGAGATCCTGGTGGACCCAACTGCTATCACCTAACCTCTGAGCGGATGACCATTGCTGATGGCCAAGAACATAGAGATGAGTGGAACCAACGAAGGAGCACCTGTACCTATGGAGACGAACCTTGGTGTGGACAGACTGTCTTCTACAAGTCAGAAACTGGCAAACAAGGTAAGACAAAGCTCAATGAGAAGTTCTTACAACAAGGACGACTTGCAAGTCAGGGCGGCTTCATGACCTTCTTCTATGATAGCCGTATGGAGACAGAGGAGAGATCCTTTCCCATCACCATCGTCAACTGGAGGAGCTTTCGGATAAAGAGGTGTACAGTAAACACCTTATCTGCGGAATGTCAGGCGATGCTACAAGGTGTTGGTGCTCTACACTGGCTTCGATTTCTTGTTCGCGAAGCTCAAGGACGACCGTTGGATTTGGGCAACTGGGAAGAGGAGGTTAGCCAACTTCCGTGTATAGCAGTGACGGATAGCAAATCCCTCTACGACACAATTCAGAAGTGCTGCAACACCGCAGCGCACATCGAAGACAAGCGACGGCCATCGACGTGACGATCCTGAAGAGAGACTTTCGAACAACCCGAGGACAGGTGAGATGGGTCGAAGGTGCTAGGATGGTTGCTGATAGTTTAACGAAGAAAATGGGAAGTTCATTCCTCCGTGATGTGATGACAAAAGGGCGGTGGTCCTTATCAGAGTTGGGATTCAAAGAGAGTTCCAACTCAATCCTTTTTCTGATTCCAGGCCATTAGAGTCTGGCCGGTGTGAATTCTGAGGCGACTGACCTGGAATCATTTCCATTACATTTGGTAGATGTGTTCTACCGGAGCTGTGCTGGCTCGACTCGGGCCTTGGGGTTGTGTGCGCAGAAAAGGATGCGCTGGTGCTTTGCCAACTACAATTAAATATCTATATTAATATATATATATATATATTTGTGTGTGATTGTGTAGGTGAGCCTTATCTCGTACCATCTTGCAACCATTCTCACCAATCAGTTCCCAAGTGGGAGATCGCCCCTCTGGTTTTCAAAGATGATTGATTGTGCACTGCCATATCTCTTTGCCAGAGGGTCTTGCCAGTTGGTAAATATAATGTGTTGGTGGTACATCCCTATTTTGGTGGTAAAGCTTCTATTTTAATCTATTTTAGATGTTTTATTAAATCCCTACCTCAGATGGATAAATTATGATAAATCCCTATGTTTGATGTCTTCAAACTTACCAGATGCCAATCGACACCACAGACACCAAACAGTAAACATGCCATGGCACCGGTCCAGGTACATAGCTGCCAAGCGTGGCTCATCGAAGCCCGTTTCCAGCTTGTTGCAGACCACCAGGATCCTAGCACACAAATTGTCTTGAGCTGGCACTGTAGTCGGGGTTGCTCCCAACACGCCAAGTACGTTTGGGTGGAAAAATGTGAGATAGAAAAGTAAAATGACAATTTTTCCCCTGTGCGGCTATCATTTACCAATCTTTATCCTGTAATGGTTTGGAGCAACCCTGGTAGTGATTACCTTCAAACACTTGGAAATTGGACCGTCGAAAATGATTCAACATGAGGCTCCAACATCCAAAATGATCAAGACTTGCTTTGCTACCAGCTACCATTACAGAAAAAACGGGAAATAATAACATACCTAAGAGAAACAAACAGAATGATGCATCAAAATTGGCGCTGTTGCCATGAAAGCGTGGATGATAATTGTCGATAGCCTCTGTAGTCAAACATGGCAACGGGAATGCCCATGTCTCAATGGGAACATGAGCCATCAATGGATATGATATAGAACATGATTCGTCATGTTCATGGGTTTTCCATTCTTTGCAACATACATCCCAAACTGGGGTTATGCCCACTTCAGTCAGCATCTTTGCCCTTCCTGTAAGCTCACCTGGGGGGGTGATATCATGAGATCTGGTGTTTTTCATGTTACAAAAAGGATTTCTATACCTGGTTGGTGGTTGACCTACCCCTCTGAAAAATGATGGAGTGAAAGTCACTTAAAGGATGATGACATTCCCAGATATGAAATGGAAAATAAAAATGCTTGAAACCAACAGCCGTTATACTATATATTCAGTGTTTATGTGTGTTCATGTGTTCTTTAAACATATCTTGAAACAACCGGCCAAATCATCATCGGCTAGTCCTGGCACTTCGACATGCTTCCAGCAATGGCAAACCATTCAGCCGTTCTTCCAGCAGGTCTCCCACGGCGCCGCCTGCAGGGCATAGCTGGGCTATGGCTCAAGGGCAGATCACCATGGAAGAGCAGCGATTTTTTGGAGCCATTCCAGTCTGGTTGCTAACACAACATGAAGAACACACCCAAGTTCTGTAGTTTCAAAAAAAGGATGAACTTGTTGCTTTTTTTGTAAAAATGTTAGTAGTGTAGGCTTTCTGGTGAACTCATCTAGCCCCAGAAACGCTAAAATCAAAGTCTTTTGGCCATAATCCATCCAGTGAAAGAACTGATCTGCAGCTGGCTGCAGGCCTTTTTGGTTCTTGTGACCAACTCTCATGGCAGGTATGGAGCTGCCAGGAGCATCAAAAGGCAACTTCCCTTTGTGCCGCCGACCGTCCGATTTCTGAGGGACCAATCTCTAAAAATCATCTCTTCCGGTGATATTCAACTTCCTAAGAGTCAGCAGATTTCCGTTAGATTCCGTTAGATCTACCCTCTATACTTTATACGTCTTATTGGTTCTCACCCTCAGATATTATTGGGTAACGTCCTCCATGCCGGACCCCCACAGCAGCTGGGGCACTGAAGAAGCCACAAATGCCCCGGTTCAGGAAGAAGCCGGGCGACCTGCCCAAGCTATGGGAACCCGGTGGCTGGTGCTGGTTCCCCAATTTATTTTGTTTGCCAAGTTCTTTGACTAATTTGATTGTTGTTGCTTATTGATGTTTGTGTTTCAGGGTTCTGGGTCTAGACTCTTGGTTGCTCTTGTTTCATTTAAGCCCCACAAACCAATGGATATGATTTGTCAAAATGAGGTTCGTGAGAGGTGGCTTTTCTAATATTTCACCCCTGGCCCCCACAACATGCTCGGAAATACGGAACATGGTTTGCTATTCTGCTGTTTGATATTCCGTGGGCAAAAAAACACAACAACTAGGGAATATAAACATTGGGATGTAGGTATGTTAGAGATAGAGCACTTGGTCATGGTAAGTGGCAGCCAGCCATATATACTGTCAAAAAACTGAAGCATGGCTAAACGCATCCCCAAGGAAAATAAGCGCTGCACCAATTCCAGATGATTTTGCAGGGAAAATTCAGGCAACATTTAAGATATTGAAGGGAATGTGCATCTCAGACTGAGTGATAGCTAATTTTCATCCCCACAGAAATTTACGACATCCCCCCCCAAGTAACTGCTGTAAAATACCTGGCTAATGTAGGGGGTTAAGATTTGAACGAAAGGTTCATTTTTCCCACTTTGTTGCTTATATATATCCCATTATATCCCATTAATGTGCCATATTATATCATATTATCCCATATTATCCCAGATTATCCCATGAATATGCCATATTGTCATATTATAATATATTATCATTTTGAGGATGGTTGCAAACAAAGGTTGATCCTCGCCTGAGTCCCGCTCGAAGTGAACCAGGTCAAAGTAGAAAGTGCAAAGCCGCGGCGCAGTTGTTTATGCGCCAATGCATAGCCATCAAGGTGAAAACCGGTCCCTCCCTATCAATTGGGATTGGGCCGATACAAAAGGAAGATGAAGCTGGCACCTGAACAAGTTGCGTGGAGCGAAACTCACACGGGTGGTGAAATATCGCTACTAGAAACGGTATACATGGCCACTCAGTCAGTGCTAGCTCGAGAGAGCGATTGGTCTCGGAAGCATCTCGCTAGGACTTCTCGCACTTCTCCATCTGGAATTCGTGGTGCTAGAGTGTGGGCACACACCTTGCAAGGTCTTCTGCTGAACTTGGTCGTGTTTGGCCTGGTCAAGGCTTCACACTGTGGGTCTGCATGCCACACAGTACCGTGGGGTGCAAAGTGCACAGGTCTGTTGGCTGCCTTTTCTATTCCTGCTGCAACGTGACGGTCCACAACTTGGTTGAATTTTGTCTGGCGGCTGGGAACATCAGCGGCCATCGTGTCTCGTGCTTCCTTGGCACGAAGATGTATCTCCTTGTTCTTTTCCAGCTCGGTGGCATACTTCCTTTTGAAAAGGTTGAGGTGCTCTTCTAGCCTCTGGGATCTGTGGTGTTCTTGCTGGTATTGTTGTTCCAGGTGCTGAAGCTGCCGCTGGACTCGCTCCAGCTGTTGCTGGAGGTCAGGATCCTCCCTGGTTGTCTGCGTTTCCACCTCATTGGTAGATGTCATAGACAAGGGCGATGTCATACGTCTGAATGTAGCGTAACTGAGTCGCAGGAGGTAGATGAAGGATGATGATCACTGCAAAGGTGATAAGAATGATGACGGTGAGGTCGAAGTAGGTGAGTTGGTCAGGGTCGTGTGGTGGTAGTTGTGTCAGTTGGTCGCTGCTAAGTGATTGTGAGTCTGACTGCATTACTAGGTAGGCTGTGGCAAGTAAGGCTTGCATTGCTCGTTGGGGTTTTCGCAGTGCAAACTGCTCAGCGCTTTTCTTTCTGTCTGCTGCGCTTTTCTTTTTTGCTGCTATGAACTGGTCGTCGGGCTTGACGCTGGTGTAGTGTGTGCGTAGCCGCTGGGCAAGTAGTGCTGCTGCTGATGCTTTTGTCATGCCGTCTGCGTATTGTAGTTCTGATGAGACCCATTTTGTCTCTGCCTGCATGCATTTGAGCTTGTCTTGTGTAACGAGTAGTTCCACAGACGTTCGTTTGTCTGCTCCACTGTTTGGCTGGAGCTCTTGTTTCGTGAGTAGGTCGTATAGTGCTTTTGCATCTGTAACGATGCAAGGCTTGTGTGGTAGCTGACATGCGGTCATGTCGTCGATTGCCAGTGTTGGGTGCCAAATTAGCTGCCAGAAGGTGATGTTGTACATCATGGCGTCTGCTGTTTCTGACGCTGCTTGTGCTTCGGCACTCAAGCTGCTGCGTGCTACACGGGGTAGTTTCCAGCTGCGCCAGTCGACTAGGCAGTAGGGGACTGCTGCTCCATCTTTGATGCTTTTGTGCGTCGTGAGGATAAGGTATCCTCCTTGGGAGGTGTTGTCGTGTCTGCATGCAAATGCTGCGTCACAGTATGCTGTGAAGGTGACGTCTGCTCTTTCTCCCAGCTTTTGGAATTGCAAACTGGCATCCGAGTGTTGCTTTGCGAATCGAAGGATTTTGTTGGCCTCCTTCAGGGTGTTTGTGGTTGCTGTGGTAACCTGACCTGCCAGTTGAGAGATCATTGCCTGTAGGTGTGGGCTTGATTGGCCCGAAGGCCATTGTAGTGCTCCGATTGTTGCTCGCAAGTTGGTTCTTTCTTTCTCAGTCACTGGTCTGTCCTTGTTATCATCAGTGAAACTGATGGGTTTTTGCTTCGAAAGGTACTTGGTGTGTTCCAAAGTGTAGTGGTTGGGTGATATTTTGTTGATTTGTGCACCGCA